TTGCTGGCTTGCCCGCCCCTCGCCCACCACTATTTATTGGCAATAAATAGTGGTGCGGAGGGGCGGGGCAAGCCAACAATTTAACAAACGGTTCGGCTGAACCCCCTAGAGCCGGCAGAATCCCACCACTGGCTATAGGGTGGCCCTTTGAAGCCCCGTGGCAAGAATTTAAACAGTTTTTTTTCCTCTAGCCATCAGCTGGGACTCAGGAGACAGCAATAGATTGGGAGTGGGCGGGGTAAGCGAACGCCCGGAGATCCAACAGAGCAGAGAGTGAGGGTGAGTGAAGGCATGGGGGGGGGGCGAGAGAGGGCTTTGGCGACCCCTGTGAAATGGCCGTTCGACCCCCAAAGGGGTCGCGACCCCCAGGTTGAGAACCGCTGGCCTAGTGCTTCTCAATACCTTTCATGTGTTGGTTCTTTGCATTTCTTTAAGAAAGGATAAAGTACAAGTAATAAACTTTGAAATGATTTGGAATCAGGTCACCTAGGATTATATTTGTACTTGGTGGTTCTTCAGAAATACTCAACCCCATAGTTATCACCTTGGTATGTGTCATTTCATTGTAACTACTTTTGTAATAAATTTATGGGATAGATTATTCTGAGAAAGAGAATGGCCCTGTCAATGTACCTCTTTGAACTGCTTCTTCATGGGCATTGAAAGCTGATCTCTGTATAACTTGTATGCTATTATACCACAATGATTGCACTATCCTAGTCGTCACTCATATTTTGGAAGCTAGCAAAGTTGTAATTTCCAGTACTTGACCTAATTATCCCGTTTCTATTACTTCGGTAATCAAAGGCTTCTTTCATTAGTTCTGATTTGTGCATATCTTTCGGTAACTAAATTCTGTTTTTAATCTCAGCATATAATGTAGATGTCAAAAGGTTGGTCCAATTTCTGCTTAATTCTTCTATTTCATTGCCTAAATTTAAGGCCTATCCCATTTCCCAACTGTATGAAATTTTTATTTTTTCATATTGAAGAATTGTATCTTTCCCCAGAAAGCTTTAATTTCTTTGTCATTCTGTTTTACAATTCATGTTAGATAAAATTTAACTTAGTTAGAGCAAAGAATTTTAAATGTTGATGTTGAAAGAAATAATAATATTTTAATGTCTTTAACATTCAAATGCATCCCTTGGAAACTATCCCTAATCTTGTAGTGCTAAAAGTGCCTCATACTACAGATCTTTCCAGGAAACTATTCTAAACTTCTGTCTTTCTCTGGTTTAAAAAAAAAATACAACAGTGAGAATTGGCAGTCTTTACCTTATGTTCCTGGAAGTTCAGATTGTAGTTCCAAAATTTCTCAGAAAAATAGGATGACTAACTGCGTGCACTATTCTTATGCAATCAGGAGTCACAGCAGTAATCAAGCACAGTCACTTGAACATTTTATTCTACTTCTCCCTGCTGCTTGTCATCTCCTTGCCATCTTCTCCAATTAGTGTTCTGTAATGGCCATTAGTACTTTACCAGTTAGGGATAATGCTATTTGCATTTCTGATCTTCTTTCCAGTATGTGTGCTGCACTGACTAATTACAATAATGCACTGTACACAACATTGCCTTTAAACATAGTTTGAGAACCCCAGCTAGTGCACAATGAGGCTGTCAGAGTTTGGTCATGTGATATCTATATTGGTTTCTAGTTATTTCTGAATCCAATTTTAAAAAACATCTTGATTTTAAATAGTTTTGGGAAAAGTGTTTTCACCAATGCCTATTACAGATAGTAATGCCCACTGATAAGCAATTAAGCTAACTAACATAAAACAGAGTGCTTTATCAATAATGGCTGATAGCTGTGGAAAGCTAAACAATTCTTCAATTCTGGCTCTCATTTACTTTCAGGGAAGGTCTTAATACTTCTTAACTTTCTTTTCCATAAGCAATGTCTGCTAAATTGGCTTAGTATCAGCACTTATTTATACACTATATGTAATATAGTGGTATTGTGTTTTCTATCCATTGAAAGCAACCAGGGATTAACTTCATATTTATCATTAGAACGTATCGCTTTTAAATAATATTTTAAAATATTTATACAATGAAATGGACAATTCCATTGGGCACATATATAGAAAACGGTATCACAGGGCTCATTTTTATGGAGAATTGCTTTTGAATTTGCTTATAAATGATCTGGTGTCAGTAGTGAGGAAAGTTTGCTTCTGATATTGGATTTTATTATTCCAATGACAATAAAGTAAACTGGGACTGGAAGGAGCTCCAGAACAATCTCTTCAAACGAGGTGAACAGGTCTTAATAATGTCAGTTATTCACCTTCAACAAAATATTCAAACTTCTCTTAGATATGAATAGAGTTGTGCATGGAAGAATAGTGTGACTAGAATTATTCTGCTTTTTTCACAATATAAAAACTTTCAATTGCTCATTGAAACTAAACTGGAGACATTTAGGATAAAAGGAAATATTCAGTACCATCACATGTGGTAGCTATTGATTTAATTTTTTTTTAAATTGTAAGCTGCTGATACAGTTCTACAGAGGAATTATTGAGTCTGTCATCTGCACCTCTATAACTATCTGGTTTGGTTCTGCAACCCAACAAGACAGACACAGACTTCAGAGGATAATTAGAACTGCGGAAAAAATCAATTGCTGCCAACCTGCCTTCCATTGAGGACCTGTATACTGCATGAGTCAAAAAATGAATATTGCTGTAATTTTAGATACTGTACTATTTGTGCTGTACTATTTATGGTAATAAATAATATAATGGAGTACAAGTGTAGTTCCATCAGCCAGGTTGGTTTTGAATAAGATTTATTCTGAGTCATTTTCATTCAAGATTTTCTGGAATTGTTTATATTAAGTTTCTTTGAACTGTGAGAGAAGATAAATTCAAATATGTATATATGCCATGTATATTTATGACAGAGAAGATTAAATGCATCAGATAATACAATTATCTAGTGATTTAGGCCAACAGAAAATGTTTTAGAAAATGTAAGCATCTTGAAAACTTATATTGTAGAGGGAAAATTTATATTAGTTACACTTTTTAACAATTAGATTATGAGTTAATTTGAGAGCGTATTAAGATAAAATATTTACGTATTTTTCGGTGTACAAGACATACTTTTTTACCCCCAAAAAGGGGGTGAAAATCTGGGTGCGTCTTATATGCTGAATGTAGCCCCGCCCACCTGCCGGCCCCCACCCTTTGGCCATTTTTGGGCAGTTCCAGGCGGTAGGGATCTGGGTCAGGGAACAACCCTCTATGGAACGGTCTGGGGGGGGGAATCTGCCCGGCAGCTTTGGGGAACAAGGTGGGTGCCATGATTTGCGGTTGGTCACCCCTCTGGCTGACCAGCAGGCAGCTTAGGGCAGGCAATGGCCACAATGACTTCACTCTCCTGCAATGTAGGAGCTGCCGCCTAAGCCCTCAGCGCCCAGGAACCGAGCGAGCCGAACGAGAGCTCCTAAAGAAAAACATCCCTCCTTTCCAGCCACTGCTGCCCGGATTCCCCAACACAATAATCAGAGTCGCGTTTTAGGTGGCAGACGGCCAGTTCTCCTGCAATGTGATGAGCTGCCGCCTTCTCTGCGCCCAGGAGCTGAGCGAGCCGAAAGGGAGCTCCTAAAGAAAGATGCCCCTCCTTTCCAGCCACCACTGCCCAGATTCCCCAACGCAATAATCAGAGCCGCGTTTCAGGCGGGTGGCCAGTTCCCCTGCAGTGTGCAGCGGGGAACTGGGAACTGTTTTGGATTCGGGGATGGGATTGCAGTGCTTCTGCCTGAAAGTGCTTTTCTTCCCTTTGCACATTCCCAACGGGAAGAAAAGCACTTTCAGGTGGAAGCACTGCAATCCCTCCCCGAATCCAAAACAGTTCCCAGTTACCTGCTGCACATTGCAGAGGAACTGGCCGCCTGCCGCCTGAAACGCGGCTCTGATTATTGCATTGGGGAATCCGGGCAGTGGTGGCTGGAAAGGAGGGGCGTTTTTCTTTAGGAGCTCTCGTTTGGCTTGTTCGGCTCCTGGGTGCAGAGGGCTTAGGCGGCAGCTCCTACATTGCAGGGGAGGGAAGTCATTGTGGCCATTGCTTGCTCTAAGCTGCCTGTTGGGCAGCCAGAGGGGTGACCAGCCACAAATTGTGGCACCCGCCTTGTTCCACGAAGCTGCCAGGCAGATTCCCCCCAGACCGTTCCAAAATGCTGGTAGGCAGAGGTAGAATTCTTGTTTTCTTGATTTCCTCTCCCCCAAATTAAGGTGCGTCTTATACTCCGAAAAATACGGTACCTTACTTTTCTTTTTCAAAATGTTTATTGTTTTTATTCTTTTATAATTTCTTCAATACAAATTATATGTAGTAGTTATGAATGTTTATAGGTTTTACATGTGAAGTCAAATATAATACTTGTGCAATTAATTAGGTTGAAGGGAAGTAAAGGCTATTGCATATTGCTTGGAATTTAGTTGCCAGGTCTCAGAAGATAGCTTTGCTCTACTGAAAATGAATAATAGGAAATTGAATTGTAGTTACCTTAACAAGGATTAAACTTGTGATCCTGTGTCAAATTAAATCTCCCCCTCCTCAAAATAGAGGAATTTTACCCTGTTTACCTGAAAATAAGACATCCCCTGATAATAAGCCCAATCAGGTTTTTGAGTTCATGCGGTAAAATAGCCCCCCCCTGAAAATAAGCCCTCCCTGAAAATATTTAAATGCATATGCAGGCGGTCCCCGCCATTTCCTCTGGTTAGGGTTAGGGAGACAGAGCTGGAAATCAGGTAAGATGACAAGAGGAACCCCGTCTTGCTCCATGTGCCCCAAAATAATAAGACCTCCCTGAAAATAAGGCCAAGTGCTTATTTCGGGGTTCAAAAAAATATAACACAGGGTCTTATTTTCAGGGAAACATGGTATATAAGGTAAAAAATCACTTTCCATTTTTGAATACTGTGGTAGCTGAATGGCAATGATCAGTAATATTTTTCTTCTTTTTTGATGTTTATTTCTAGGACTCTGTTGATCAGACTTCGGCACATGCAGGTCGAGATCTAGTGGAACCTGGATACCAAAAACAATCAAGTCGCATTTCATTAAATAACCAAGGAGGTAAGGGAAATAAGATACAGGCATATTTATTAGGCATATAAGGGGGAAAAACCCCCCACACCATATAATTTTAAACATTATAACATTTTCCAGTGGCAAAATATTGAGGAAAGTGGTAAACTAGAAGGGTTCAAAATATTTTGCAGTTGAACTGACCTATTCTTCTAGTTCAGAACAGTTGCTCTGTCTTTACTCAAAAGGTTTGAAGTTGAACAATCCAGGTTTAAGCTTGAAACTTTTCTGGCCATGTTCAGAACAAATCAGTATCAAGTCTGAATTTGAAACATTTCACTCTGTATCCTTCTAGGGCTGACTTTGGGTTTATCTCTTTCTTAAACTATATGTTAAAAGGAAATTAATATGCACCAAGAGATGTTAGGATTTTTAAAACTCCCACAGTGCTATATGGTTCAAATAAATGAGGTAAAATGAAATGGAATTGAAGTAATTTCATAAAATACAACAGAATAGATTGTCACATAGTGGTAGCTGACTATTCCAATGGCACAATGTGATAATTATAGTATTTTTGTTCTCCTTGTTGAAATTTTGATTACCTTTAGTAGAGAATAATTCTCTTCCCAATATGTCAAATTAATTATTAAGTTCTCTAATAATTTCTATACCTCTTCCACAATCCATTTAGAAAGCTTCAGTATTTGAAGCCTCCCTGGATCACTGATTATTATTATTGTCACAGCAGTCATCATTTCCTTCCTTTGGTTGATGTTTTTGGATTCCAACTGGGAATAGCCATTTGTTGTAAAGCAATAAGCTAATAGCAGAATAGCATCAAAAGGAAAGGCAGGTCTCATGATTTCCCCAAGTTAATGGTCTACACCATTTGTCCCAGTTTGCCACGGATAGATTACCAAGCAGGAAAAGAAAGAATTAAGAAAACTTCTGAATTGCTTTTACATGGTTAAAGTTTCTCCTCAACCTTTGGCATAGGCTAGTAGAGATGTAACAAGATTTCAAAGTTTTAGAATCTATTCTATAAATCAATTCATGTGAGCAGTAAAGTGATGGTTGAGATGCTGTTCTTTAGGTATGGGAGCTAGTTGGTTGTCTGTCATTCTTTCAGCTCTAGAATGGAAAACCAACAAATCTCTCTCTCCCCCCCCCCACTTTCCCTCCTCCTCTCTGTCCCTTTCCCTTCCTCCCTCCCCCTCTCCACTCCCTCTTCATGTGTTTTTTGAAATGTATTATTATTTTTAAATGTAATTTAACTAAAGGTTTTTAAATAGAAATTAAAAACCAATAGTAGCTTTTGATCACCTGAAATATTAGCACCTCTATATACTCCACACTTGTAATACTGCATCCTGATACAAGAATGATACTGAGACTCCAGAAAGAGTGCAGATGAGCAACAAAGATGATTAGAGAGCTGGAGGCTAAAACATATAAAGTGTGGTTGCTGGAATTGGATATATCTAGTCTAACAAAGAGAAGATATATGGGTGACATGATAACAGTCTTCCAATATGAAGGTCTATCACAAAGAAGATGAAGACTATTCTCAAAAGCACCTGAGCACAAAGCAAAATGTAACAGATGGAGATTTATTTATTTTTAATTTATTTATATATATCCCACTTTATTTGCTTACCCACCCATCCACCCATCTACCCACCTAACTACCTATCTACCAATAACTCAAGGCTGTGAACATACCCAACTCACCTTCCTCCTCCTATTTCCCCCACAACAACAACTCTGTGAGGTAAATTGGATTGAGAGAAAATGGCTCAAAGTCACCCAAATGCCTTCATTTGAACTCACTTTCTAGTCCAATGCCTTAACCGCTAGACCAAACTGACTCTTATCAAAGAGAGAGCAAATCCAGAACTAAGAAGAAATTTTCTGACAGTGAGTATAATTAATTAGTTGCCTCCAGATGTTGTGAATGTACCTTTACTGGATGTTTTAAAGAAGAGATTGAACAGCCATTTGTAAAGAATAGTATATCCTCGACTCTTGAGGGAGGTGGACTGTAAGTCCTCCAAGGTCCTTTCCAATTCTGTTACTCTTATCATTTTCTTTACAGTGGTTGTAATTATAATTTTATTTCTTGCTCTATGGTTACTAAATACCTTTTTTGTTTTTATAATCCAGTCTATCCAATGATCAAAACCATCAATCAAAAGTTCATTCTTTTTTCTATTTCATGCAAAAAGCTTATAAAAATGTAGATATCATATCTTTGATTCAAAGAAATCAATTTAACTATCTCAGCGTGTTTATTTATTTTATTTATTTTATTCAATTTATATCCCGCCCTTCTCCAAGTGGACTCAGGGCGGTGCACAGCCAGACTAAAACACATATCAATACAAAATTTAAACTTATTAAAAGAATTAAATAACTGTGGCCCAAAAATTTAAAACATTGAAACTAAAACCCCTAAATTTAACTAAATTTAAACAATTTAAAAAGCTAAAAACTAAAAAGGGGAGGGGGTTTCACGCCAGCCCTGCTTGATGGAAAAGAAAAGTTTTTAGAGCACGGCGAAAAACCCGGAGATCTGATATCCTTTGTATCTCCGGGGGCAAATTGTTCCAGAGGGCAGGAGCTGCCTCAGAGAAGGCCCTCCCCCTGGGGGTCGCCAGCCGACATTGCCCGGCTGACTGCACCTGAGGAGTCCCTCTCTGTGGGAGTGCACTGGTCGGTGGGAGGCTATCGGTGGCACAGGCGGTCCCGCAAATACCCAGGTCCCATGCCATGGAGCACTTTAAAGGTGGTGACCAACACCTTAAATCGCACCTGGAAGACCACTGGAAGCCAATGCAGCTCACGCAGGAGAGGTGTCACATGGGAGAGGCACCTCGCTCCCATAATCCCCCGTGCAGCCGCATTCTGCACCAGTTGGAGTCTCCGGGTGCTCCTCAAGGGGAGCTCCATGTAGAGAGCATTGCAATAGTCCAGGCGGGAAGTGACGAGCCCCTCAGTGACTGTGCATAGGGAATCCCGATCCAGAAAGGGACGCAACTGGCGAATCAGGCGGACCTGATAAAAAGCCCCCCTGGCCACGGCCGTCATATGCTCTTCTAAAGACAGCCGTGCATCCAGGAGGACACCCAAGTTGCGAGCCCTATCCATAGGGGCCAATAACTCGCCCCCAATAGCCAGCGATGGCACCAGCTGGCTATATCGGGATGCCGGAAGCCACAGCCACTCGGTCTTGGAAGGGTTGAGTCGAAGCCTGTTACTCCCCATCCAGGTCCGCATGGCCTCCAGGCACCGGGACATCACTTCAAGGGCATCGTTGGGATGGCCTGGGGTGGAGATGTACAGCTGCGTATCATCAGCGTACTGATGGAACTCCACCCCAAAGCCATGGATGATCTCGCCCAGCGGCTTCACATAAATGTTGAACAGAAGGGGTGAGAGGACCGACTCCTGTGGCATCCCGCAAGCAAGGCGCCTCGGGGTCGACCTCTGCCCTCCTGCCAATACCGACTGCGACCGGTCGGAGAGATAGGAAGAGAACCACCGCAAAATGGTGCCCCCCACTCCCAACCCCTCCAACCGGCGCAGCAGGATACCATGGTCGATGGTATCAAAAGCCGCTGAGAGATCTAACAGGACCAGGATAGAGGAGCAACCCTTATCCTGAGACCTCCAGAGATCATCCACCAATGCGACCAATGCTGTTTCTGTGCTGTGCCCAGGCCTGAAGCCGGACTGGAGCGGATCCAGATAGACAGCTTCATCCAGGTACCCAGGAAACTGTCGCGCCACCACACTCTTCGCCAAGAAGGGAAGGTTGGAGACTGGACGATAGTTAGCCAAAATACCGGATCCAGAGCAGGCTTCTTGAGGAGGGGCCTCACCACCGCCTCTTTCAAGGTGGATGGCAAGACACCCTCACTCAAGGAAGCGTTGATAATGCCCTGGAACCAGCCTCGTGTAACCTCCTGGGAGGCCAGCACCAGCCAGGAGGGACACGGGTCCAATAAACATGTGGTCGCGTTCAGCGTTCAGCCGCCCCAGTATCCTGTCCACGTCCTCGGGAGCAACAGGGTCGAACTCCTCCCAAATGGCAGTCCCAAGACCGGCACCCATCATCCCGTCTGTACCTACCCAGTCAGAGACCGGGCCTTCCCGAATCTGAGTGATTTTATCGTGCAGATACTGAACAAAATCCTCGGCCAAATGTTGCCTCATTTTCACCAATTATTCCTCAATTGCAGACAGTGCCATCTTTCTGCATACAATAAACCTGCTGCAGTTAACATATACAAAAACAAAATTCCATGACATTTCCCCCCTGCTGTGTTGTCTTGGTTTGCTTACGGATGTTTCATTACCCAACTAAGTAACTTCATCAATAATACTGAGTATAGAATTCCCTGGTTAAACGCAGTGACTTGTCCTGTCAGTGTTGGTGGGGGTGAGATTTTCTCCTTGGTAGTTCCTTGATTAGGGTATTGTTTTCTCTTTTATTGTTTTTTCTGGTATTAATCCTTGCTTAACTGATTGTGGGTTGCAGGAGAGAATGTGTTGTGGTCTTCCTGTTTTCTTAGCTTTTTTGGTTGTCTCTTTTGAATGGTGTGTAAATATGGTTTATCTGTATGTGTCTATAATGGCTGATTTGTCCAAGTGCCAAACCTCCAAGAATTCTGTAGTGGTTTTGGAAAACAATATCCTAATGAAAAAACTACCAAAGAGAAACCCATACCCATACCAATTCTAGGAGGGCCAATAAGGGTCTCCCTTATTGATGATGTTACCTAGTCAGATAATGAATTGTTTGAAAGCAATCAAGATTAGAGAGCATCAAGCACCCTAATTCAACTCTGAACTATGTATATTCTCTTTTATTGTTTTTTCGAACTGTTTGTCCATCAAACACATTAAAAAATCCTCTGTATTCAATAGTATATTAATCTTTTAAATTCATCAGAATCAATGCATGAATTTGGACCCAAAATTTTCTAGGAAAATAGAAACCAAACCATTATAAAATTTCCCATCTTGTTCACATTTCCAATACA